AAAGTCCGTACGAGTTCTCACTGAAAAATAAAGGTTATGGCTACCGCCGATACAGCTACTGAGTATTACGGCAAGCCGCCGAAAAGTCTGGATCTAAGTGGAAATATTAGCGAAAACTGGCGTAAATTTAAACAGAGTTTTGATATTTTCCTAAAGGCGTCTGGTAGTATCAGAAAACCGGATGAGATAAAAGTTGCCATACTACTAAATATTGTCGGTGAAGATGGCATTGAGCTGTACAATACGTTCAATCTACAAGAGGCAGAGAGGAACAATTTGGCAAAGGTATTGCAATGCTTCGAAGAGTATTGTGTTCCCAAGAAGAACATCGTGTACGAAACTTTCAAGTTCTCCAGTAGAATGCAACAGGAAGGTGAAAAATTTGATAGCTTTCTGGCAGAAATAAAGAAGCTCAGTCAGACATGTGAATTTGGAACAATGGCTGACAGGATGGTCCGAGATAGGATTGTTCTGGGAATAAAAGACAAGGTGCTACAGGAGAGGCTACTGAGGGTAGAAGATCTCAATTTGCAAAAAGCAATTGACTACTGCAGAGCTGCTGAAGTATCCAAGGACCAAGCAAAAAGTCTACAGGGAGACAAAGCAGAAATAGACAGTATACGCAAGAAGGTACAGCAGAAGTCCAGTAAATTCAAAGGCAAGGACGCAGCAACAAAATTTGACTGTAGGAGATGCGGAACAAACCATGGTCCACGAGAATGTCCAGCGTATGGAAAGAAATGCAAGAAGTGCGGTAAATTAAATCATTATGCGATTGGTTGTAAAGTTAAAAAGATAAAGGAGCTTACAGAGCAAACTAATGTACAGTCTGAGTCAAAAGATAGTTCATTTTGTATTGATCAAGTAGAAATTGGTAATATTAATTCTAGATGGTTTGAAATGATTCAAATAAATAACAGTATTGTTAAATTCAAGTTAGACACAGGAGCGGATGTAAATGTTTTACCGTTAAAAATATATAATAAAGTTAAAAAGTCAAAAGTTAAATTAGAATCTGCTAGTATAATTTTAGAAAGTTTTGGTGGTAAGATAAAACCGCTAGGAATAGCTGAACTGTTATGTACTATTAAAGATGTAACAAAAAAACAAAAGTTTGTAATTGTTAGAGAAGATACAATGCCACTGTTAGGTTTATGCACATGCCGAGAATTTAATTAAATTAAAAGAATACACATGCTTCAAAATCTAAATATAAAAGATAAGTTTATATCAGAAAATATTGATATTTTTGAAGGTAATGGAACTTTTAGAAAAACGTGTACTATTGAAATAGATAAAAAGTGTACACCAGTTGCTAATCCACCTAGGAGAATTCCCCATACAGTTCGTGATAAATTAAAACATACTCTTGATAAGATGGTAAAAAACGGGATAATATCAAAAGTAGAAAATCCTAAGGGCTGGGTCAGCAACTTGGTAATTATTGAGAAAGCGGATGGTAAATTAAGAATATGTTTAGATCCGAGAGATTTAAATAAGGTAATTAAGAGGCCTAAAGATGTGCTAATACCCACAGCGAGTGAAATAAAAGAAAAGTTGTCGAACAAATGCTATTTCACTGTATTAGATTTAAAAAATGGGTTTTGGCATGTTAAATTAGATGATGAATCGAGTGAGCTGTGTACGTTTTCAACTCCTTTTGGATGTTACAAGTTTAATAGATTAGCTTTTGGGTTGAATATGGCACCTGAATATTTTCAAAAAGAAAATGCTGAAAATTTTGACGATATAGAGGGTGTCACAATATATTTTGATGATTTGATAATTTCATCGGACACAGAAGAAGGCCATGATAGAATACTTAAAAAAGTCATTGAGCGTGCCAGAAAATTAGGTGTTAAATTTAACAAAGATAAGGTACAATATAAAGCTAAGACAGTAAAATTTTTGGGCAATATCTTTAGTGCTGAAGGAATGGCAGTAGATCCGGATAGAGTACAGGCGATATTAGCTATAGAAAGCCCTACAAATGTAAAAAAGCTACAAAGTATAATAGGCATGATTAATTTTTTGCGGAATTTTATACCTAATCTATCGGAAAAAATAGCGCCACTTAGGGAGTTACTAAAGAAAAATGTCCAATTTCAATGGTTGCCGGTACATGAGAATTGTCTTAATAAAATAAAGCAGGAAATAGTAAATGCTCCTATATTGGCAAATTTCGATTCAAACAAAGAGATCACGATACAAGCAGATGCTTCGCAACAGGATTTAGGTTGCTGTTTGCTGCAAAATGGAAAACCAGTTAGTTTTGCGTCCAGAAGTCTTACGAATAGTGAGCAAAATATGGCTCAAATTGAAAAAGAACTATTGAGTATACTTTTTGCTACACAGAAATTTCATTACTATATTTATGGAAGAGAAATTAATGTTAATACGGATCATAAACCGTTAATTAGTATACTAAATAAAAAAATTTCAGAAATTCCTTCCACTCGTTTACAGAGAATGAGAATTAAACTGCTTAAATATCAAATAAAAATAGCATTTATTTCAGGCAAAGAAATGCATATTGCAGACTTATTATCTAGATCCTTCTTAAGTGAAGCAAATACAGATGATAGTTGGTTGCAAGAAGTGGTACATTCTATTGAAACGGGTCTTAGTATTACAAATGCTAAAAAACAGGAACTTCAAAAAGCCACTATGGCTGATTCAACACTATCTAAACTTAAAGATTATCATTTTAATGGATGGCCTAAAATGAAAAAAGATGTAGATGATAGAGTCAAATTTTACTTTAATCTACAAGATCAAATCACAATAGAAGATGATTTAGTATATCTTAATTTTAAATTAATAATTCCAGTTGAATTTCGACAATACATCTTAAAGGTGTTGCATGAATCACACTTTGGGATAACTAAAACTAAAGCTAGAGCAAATCAAGTAATATATTGGCCAGGTATGAGTAGAGATATAGAAGAAATGATTTCCAGGTGTACAATTTGTGAAAAATATAGTAATTCAAATGTTAAAGAACCATTAATATCTCATGACATTCCGAAAAATCCCTTTGGAAAAGTAGCAAGTGATATTTTGCAATTTGGAGGAGAAGATTATTTGGTAATTCAAGATTACTACTCTAAATGGCTAGAAATATTAAAACTAAAAAATAAAACAGGGACGGAAGTTATTAATAAACTAAAATCTGTATTCGCTACACATGGAATACCAAATATACTAATATGTGACAATCAACCATATAATTCAAACGAGTGTAAAGAATTTGCAAAGAAATGGTGTTTTGAGATAATAACTAGTTCTCCAAACTATCCAAAAAGTAATGGACTAGCGGAACGTGCAGTACAAACAGCCAAGAAAATATTAGAAAAGAGCAAACAACAAAACATAGACTTAGAGATTGCCCTTCTAGAATATAGAAATATGCCAATAGCGGGATTAAATGTATCACCTGCACAAATTATGTTCAATAGACGTGTTAGAACTAAAATACCAGTACACACCAAGCTACTACAACCAGCTATACCGCGAAATGTTCATAACAAGCTGATTGAGAAACAAATTCAAGCAAAGAATTATCATGACCTACACGCAAAGAAGCGTGAACAGTTTCGAGAGGGAGAAAATGTATTAGTAAGGACAGGAAAAGTATGGGAGCCGGCTAAAATAATTTCTAAACATAATACTCCCCGATCTTATATCATTATTAATAGTAAAGGTAACATGGTTAGAAGAAATTCGAGCCACTTAAAGAAAACGAAAACCGAATTTAAAAGTAATTATGATGAGGACTTTGATGACCGTACCAAGCGTAATGAGCGTAATGATTCTATTGTACCAGATAATGCGAATACTGTGAATGAGGAGCGACAACAAATGAAAGCTACTCGCAGCGGGAGAATGGTTAAACCTCCGGTCAAGCTAAGAGATTATGTATTGTAATGTTGCGATTGTCAAAATGTTTAGTTTTATTGGTTACTTGAGAAAGAGATATGATTCTATTTAGTTTTGCGTATATAATTTCATTATAATTTATTAAAGGCTGAGTTGATATTAAGTATAGTTTAATACTTTAATAAAGTTTAGTTTACTGCTTTTAAAAAAGAAAAGGGAGATGTTGTATATCTATGGTTAGCGCATGCGCA